TGCAGAAGCCAGTTTAAATGTCATTGTAAACAAAAAGCACAGTACAGCACAGCTCGTTGGAGCCAGGTTTGGGAATTAGGATGTCAGATACATCAACTCGGAGGCCAGCATTTCCTCGACTGCACAGCTGAAAGGCCTTAGCCATGTCCCAAGCACATGCTGTGTGTCCCCGGACTTGGAGAACCAGTTTAGGTGACTCAGTGGAGAGCACATGAGATCTGGGTGTGCAGCCACAGCCTTCCAGCATTGCTTGGGAGGACAGAGTTGCAGCCTGCTCAGTGAGGCTAGGTTCCTAGACCATCATTCCGTTCTCCCCAGTGTTAAGTCCAAAGTGGGCCCCCAAAATGGCGCTGCTGCTGCTGCTGACAGAGTCCTAAGCCTGGTCTCAGCTTTGAGTGGGTAAACAGAAGGATCAAAACCAGGTAAGCAAGAACCTGAACTCAGCAGTCCTCAGAAATTTAGTAATGGGGGTTTTTCTGTTTGTCAGCAAAAGCCATTACTCCCCTTATGCACAACCAATGGCCAGTTACCTTGGGCAAAGGGTAGTTCCTCATCAACCTAAACAGCCTAAAGCAGAACAAAGCCCTCATGCAAAATCCCAGACTGTTCTGGCCCACACCTCTCTTTCCACCTCTGCCTGTCCCCATAAAACTGACAAGGCTTTTACCACTGCCCGCTGTTCTCTGGCCACCCCACCCAGGCAGCCGGGCAGTTTGATTCCTCCTCCTAAAACTGCATTCCTACTCACAGAGTAGTCTAGTTTGGCAGTTTCACTGAGTTTTTGCTTACACCCAGGATCTCATGAAAATTTCAGGAATGTGCCCCTGCTCTCTATCCAGGAGATGTGCTTTGTGCGTAAAGAGGACCAGTGTAAGCTGAGTCAGGTCTGGAAACTTGATGGGCTGACGCACTCAGAGAGAAATGACTTGTCGGCAAATGCCAGAGTGGCAGAGGCCACTGGGCTGCAATGACAAGGCAGTAAGACAGTGCTTTCCTGTCTCTCAGAATCTGCTGCCCAGACAAAGCCTGTCCAGGGTAGGATGGGCATTTTCTAAAGATCCCAGAAGAAACGGGGTGGCATCGCTCTATCTTGTTAGTGTGAAGATTTGACTATTAGAAACAAGACTCAGAATCACGGTGTGTGTGTGTGGGGGGGGGGTGTGGCAGGCGATATCTTGATTGACAAAGCATCTTCTGCATAATCATGAGGACCTACCCAAGTTTGGCTCCCCAGTACCTACATGAAATCTGGGTGCAGTGGCGGGCGCTTGTAATCCAATCACTGGGGAAAGAGAGGCAGCGGGACCCCTGGAACTCATTGGCGAGGTGGTTGAGCTGAATGGATGAGCTCCAGATTCCATGAGAGACCCCGTTTCCAACAAATAAGATGGAGGGGCCAGCAGGATGGCTTAGGGGTAAAGGCTCCTGCTGCCCCACGCCTGACAACCCGGGGCTGGATTCCAGGAAGCCACATGGTGGAAGGAGAGAGCATTAGCCCTGTAAGTTGTTTTCCACCCGCACCCCTCCATGAACTCTAGCACATGCTCCTCCTCCTAAGACAAATAAAAACTTAAAACATTTTAAGGGAAGACAAGGTGAATGACAGAGACACCGGATGTCATCAAACCTCCGGCATTCATGAATGCATTCATGAATGTACAGGCACCCAAACACACACATGAACACATGCGCACACCACACACACAATACATAATTATGATCATAGCTAATAGAAACAAGATGAGAGTTTGTCTCTCTCTCCCGTGAGAGCTGCTGGCCTGGCTGCTCCATCTGTGACATCACCAGGGAGGCAGGCTCCTCCCAGCTTGCTGTTCTGCCAAGCCCTGATGCTGACCCCATCTGCAGGTTTCAGGGTGAGGCGTACCTCTTTTAAAGGCATGCTATAGAAGTTGTCCAAAGGGCTGGAGAGAAGGTTCCTCAGTTAAAAGCTCTTGCTTCTCAGTCATGACTGGTTGGATCCCAGCACCCATACTGGGCAGCTCACAGACACCTGTAACTAGCTCCAAGAGATCTGACACCTTCTTCTAGCCTCTGAGGGCACACACACACCTTTGTACACACTTTCACATGTATGCACACGCACATACATATAAATAAAATAAATTGTCAAAAAGTATAGATTTTGGGTCTGGCTAGTTTTGATGTAAGATGTTTTTACTGTTTTGTAAGTTTCCCGCCCCCCTTGGTTTTTCGTTTGAGACAGGGTTTCTCTGTGTAGCTTCACTTTGTAGACTAGGCTGGCCTCTAATTCAAAGAGATCCACCTGCCTCTGTCTCCCCAAATGCTGGGATTACAGGTGTGTGCCACTGCCCCTGGCCTCCATTTGTGAGTTTTAAAATAATAGCTTGTAAAATTAAAATTAAAAAGGAAGTTGGTCAGTTTCCCTTGGCCAGAACTTAAGTCCCTTGGTCACCAGGAGCTACAGGTGGTTGTTCTTCTAGGCAGCCCAGGGTCTAGCTGAGAACCTGGAAACCTGTTGCTGAAGCTCAGCGCTCTTGGCATGTTTGCCCAAGTGATTCTTTCATAAGCATGTGCAGTTTAAGCATTCCCTTCTTTAAGCGGAGATAACCAAACCCCACAGACGTCAGCCAACATCCCTTTGAAGTTCTCTGGCTGAGAACTGCCACCATGTGCTAGGGTCAGTGGAGGGGTGGAGGTGGAGATGAGGTACAGGAAGATATGGGGGACAGCTTCCTCTGCTGTCGAAGACATCTGGGGACGTTTTTCTCTCTTTCCTTCTTGCAGGCAGAAGAGGGTGACAGGAACACCTACTTAGAAGCCAAGAGGACCCGACTCCAAATTTTATCCTCGGGTCCATGGGCACCATAATTCTTTGCTGCAGAAAAACTGGTTTGGATGCCAGGTATGTAGAAACAGCGGGTGATAAAAATGTTGAGCATGGTTTTGAGATCCCCTTCCCCGGGGACGTTAATAATGTCTACTCCTTATAAGACCTCAACAACAAACCAAAATAGGATCTTACCAGAGCCCAGCATAGGGAGCTCATGTATTTGTTCACTAGGCTTTCTTTCTTTCTTTCTTTCTTTCTTTCTTTCTTTCTTTCTTTCTTTCTTTCTTTCTTT